AATTCAGGTGTGTGGCAGAAGGGAAATACCTGAAACATGCAGAACAGGGGGGCGGTGAGGACCAGGGTTGAGAAACACTGCTCTAATCCATTTGTCTGTGAATTACAAGTTTTTGGGGAGGTCTGAATGCAAATTTGAATTCCAAACCTTAAAAACCGAACTCTGATCCGCCTGAAAACCTAGGTCTCGGAATGGTTTAAGTTAACTCTAAAACGGTAGAAAACCTGTCTGAATGCAACCTGACTAGAGACCGTTTCAAAAGCAGGAAGTTAGCAACAGTATATTACTCTCTGCTCTGCGGGTTAACGAAGACATTGTGTCGGTTGTAATATCAACGGGTCTGTGTGTCGACATAGAAAGCGAGGGAAAACAGAATATAAATGGTTTAAAGTTGTTTCATCTGTTTGTGGCGCTCTGCAGCTGCTGTAATTTTTTAAACCTTTAATAAATGACAAAAAAGGGACTAATTGCCTCATTTGTTTTAACATAATCATCAAATAGGATGGAGGAATTTGCTTAGTCCTTGATAGAAACCAAACTGTTTGTAGATTTATATCAAGGGAGAATACTTACAAACATCAGCAACTTTCTCAGCTTTAATTTAAGCCATGTTTATAGAAATCGGGTAAGAAATAAAGGCGCTTCGATCATTTTTGTGATTCCTGCTCATCCCGCATTGGAACAGCCTGGTTTAGTGGACGCTGACGCTAAAATCTGACACTGCTCCGTTTTTGCTTACTTTTTGTGAAGAAGGAAGTTGCGCTGCCCTTCTTCAGAGGTTTTGTGTCGATTCCTTCAGTAGTTTTTGGTGCAGCGCCCCCACAAGCGACGGGGGGGAACAAGTTTTTCTGTTAGTTTTAGTCGTTTGACACAGTGCAGTTTGAATGCTAACTAGAGTTCTGAAAATGTAACAAATTTTGCAATCTTAGTCCCCAATCGAACCGAGTCTACTGGACTATCTGGTTTGAATACACCCTATAATCACTAAACAAAGCTCGACATAGACTCAGACATACAAGAATAACAGAACCAAGAGTAACTAAAGAATAAACCTAACTAGAAATACTATAGGATTGAAAATAAGGAAGGTAATAACAAGACAATTCTAATAACACTAATTATCTCAAGTAATAAAATCAAAAGGACCATGAACCTAAAGAGAACTAAGACATAATGATAAATAAGATTAAAACCAAACAAAAAAGAAACCCAGAGACCTGAAACTTTGGAGGTTGTAAAATTGAAGATGAAAACATTTTTGTCCAGAAAGATGTCATACATGTTAGAAAGTTGCAAATAAAAAGTTAATTTTGTGTTAATAAGAAAAAAAAAAAATCTTAGGGAATTAATTTCCTAATATGGAAAAATGTTACCATATATTATTCCCAATGTGACATATATGTCCCAATTCAGATCTGTGCCAGGGGTGGTGCTATTTAAAAAAAGAAAACACCTTCAGATAGTGCTACATATGATCCATTTGATATAATATGTAACTCCCGTAATTTTACTAAAAGTGGAAATAGGTCTAGAGCTAAAATTATTTAGAATCACATAAATTGTTTCGCTGGCATTTGTTGTTTTAATTAATAGTAAATAGTTAACTTTAATTAATGCTATAATTTATGTTAAATTATTTTATTTTTATTGCTTTAGTTATTGTCTTGGAGTTGGGTAATGATAGCTCAAACTTAAATTTTTTCAAGATATGGTAAAAATAGTAAAACTGTTTTTATGATGCTACTATGTGGTTATTATTTATATTCATTCTTTCTATTAAGACTGTGCTGTCTTAGTGTTTATTTTCAGTTATAAAACATTTTAAACTATTTCTCTTCATATGACAGTTGGTGGAGCATTACTCCTACAAACCAGATGGCTTGTTACGAGTACTCACAGAGCCATGTCCAAGACCTGATGGTGAAACTGGTAAAGACAGACACAACTGATCAAAATTTGTCAAGATTAGTCTTACCAAATCTCAGTCTAACCCAAATTGATCCTCATGTTTCAAATTTCTTGTTCACAGTGCAAATAGGGCGACCAGTACCTCCACTGAACCATCCTGGATTAGGTTCTGCCATTGTAAGTTATTCATGAAAAAGTTATTGGATAAGCACATTTTATACAATTGTCTTTATGGCCCAAATTCCCAGAAAGGATAAAAGAAAATCCATACTCTTCCAGGTCTTATAACTTGTTTTAAGTTTTTATCACCTTAAAGTAGGTTTAGTAAATAAACTATTTTAAGAGTTTGGTTCATCAGCAATCATCAACACTCAGGAGTGATCACAAGTTCTTTGACTTGAATGACCATGAAAAGACCACAGTATCTTTTACAAAAACTTTTTTGACATCTTTCATTCCTAGCAAAATGCAGCAGATGGTCTTCGCTCCATGCTTGGTCAGCTCAACATATCTGGAAAAAGGGTAAATACATTTCACAAGCTTAATAGTTACTTCAACAAGCATCAGTGCTCTTACTGCCATCTTACATTTTGAGATGTTTGCCTTAGTCTGATTGATAGATGTAACTGAAAATTTTTGCCAAAAAATATTCCTGCATGTTCACCTATGAGGAGGTTACCATTAGGATATAGTAAAGATATAGATAGTAAAACAGGTACCTATAATGCTCATGGTCACTGTAGAGCAGGGGTCCCCAAACTACGGCCAGCCCGCCACGTCATTTGGTCCGGCCCCCTGAACAATGCCGGATCCGGCCCGCCTCCTCATACCAGAGAGCGTTCAGTGTTTTTTTTTTTCATATATTGTATTTTCTGGTTTATATGTGGAGTTTTCTTCAACCAGCAGGGGGCTTGAGCAGATGTGAAACTAACTTTCCCTCAATGGAATATATACTAGTCAGTCCCAGTCACCGTTTCACTCACGGTTTTTTCCATTTGCATTCTGGGTAAAAATCTATCTAAAAGCGCGACTGTGTCGTCGCGCTCCCCCCCGCTCGACA